TTTGGATGAGAGCCCTGAAAATCCGTGATTAAAAGATTGTTTGAACTAACACATGATAGAAAGAAAGAAGCTTTTTGACATAGCTTTATGAACGTTATCGATATATCGCAATCTTGACCTGAATTTTAGAGATGAAATTTAATCACAAGTTGTCCCAAAATAAAGGACAGATTATCAAAAATAATCGGAAACCTAAGCAGGAATCGTGGCTATTTATCGCTATCTCTCGGTGGCTATTACTCGGCCATAACATGGCCCAGTTTAATAATATAGCTGTTTTTTATTATCTGCCATTTATATAGAAAATCTTTTTGATCTAAATGATACTAATCATACCGGGTCTGATACTCCTCACTGTTACTGGCCTAGATCCGCAAACTGTCAGACCATAACCAGTTTTGTCGCGTCGTACGATCACCCGAAAGTAGACGTAATTGCTTGAGCCCCGTTGAAACTTTCCAGCTGCTTCCATATGTCTATCTATCAATGGTTGTTGTTTCTGCTGTAGAGGTGACCAGGTGGTTGGTTTTTGTGCGACTGCGCATGGCTCGGCCAAATTGGACCAGTTAATACTTCCATGATCACTAGAAATTGGTGAAAGGGGTGAAGAAGCTGCCGTATGGTAGACACTTGCTGAGTTGTCTTCTTCTTCATGGCTACCGGCTGAAGAAATAAATAAAAAACTCTAAATTTATGTACCCAGAGCTAAAGTAGGCAGAAAAATCAATTAAAGTAAGCACAGTTTGCATTGATAAAGTGCATTTGAGTATTTCATACAGATATGTAGATAGGGTGCATGCCAGGAACCAAAGAGGTATTTATTCACAGGTTTTTAAAACCTGTAGAGAATAAATATAAGTTTTAACTTAAGCTATTATCCATGGTTTGCAAATATTCATAGGGAAAATATCATAATTAGTCTGGTAAACCAAGTTTTATCGCCTTGTGCAAGATGTTTACATCCACTTCTTGTACGCCAAAGCATTATCTCTATGCGATTACTATCTAGCTAGCTATCTATCAAACATAAACTTGTTAAAGTTCCTGCTTCTCCTAAGAAGTAGGACAATATGCTCCTATAGTTTACGGTTTTGTTTGAAGCATGGTGAACCGCATTACCTTTGTATCAAGATTATTGTCAACGTGCATTATCTTTAACGTCTTTAAAGAATATGCAAAAGAAGCATAGATAAATGGAGGTTTTTTGTATAAACACAACACAAGCTCTCTTCAAAAGCTTCCAAAACTTCGCTATTTCCGAATCAGTGTTTTATCAAATATAGGCTCATTTCATGGAGCAGAAGATAGACCGAGATGTGGATAAAATAAAAATTCTATATAAGTAGTTTGACCTTATTTTCGCAACCTGGTCAAATCGGTAGGAAGACTTAGAGGAGCACACCTCGTCCGTAGTCCATTGTATGAATGATAATTTCCAGAGTCGGACGTGGATGTGGTACATTACCAGACATTTCACCGGCATCGTAGTCGGTATCGTCAGTGAGTCTTGCCAGTCCTAGCACCACACTACAATTCGTCAAAGAGACAAGTGAAGCTGATCCATTGACCAATTGTCTGCTAAACAATCGGGGTATCTCTCCTTCCCCCTTTGGCTAATCACCTATATTCTCGTATCACGCCTTCGCTATCACTATTTATTACTTGGTTATTTAAATGTGGTAAGGAGTGCCCTTTTGAGCGGCCTTCGTGAGAATTCTCCATATTCCACTCTGGCTTTCCCACTCCTCCTCACCCCCTTCATCCTTGTGCTGGGAATTTTGATCAGAGTCTGCCATATTGTTACGCCGTCCTCCTTCCCTAGGTCTTATCAGAGTTTACTTCTTGCCCCGTAGGATCCGTCTTCTATCTCCCTGGTTCAAGTAATTCACTCGAGCCCGTCCACCCAATCTGTGCTACTCGTGACGTTATTTTCCGCACTCTGCGTCTGGGAGACTAACTCGAAGCTAAAGCCCCTGCGTATTTCTCATGGTAAAGCCTTTGCTTCATGGACCACGTCTATGGTAAGACAGGTCTGTAAGACTGTAAACCAACTAGCTCTAGTCTCCGCAGCTTCAATCCTGTTTCTATACCTAATACCAAGTCTATCACTCCCTATGTCATAGTCTGTTGTGCGCCAACCCACAAATGTTGTGGTTCAGCTTTGAACCTAATCAAAACAGGCAGGGTGTGAAGGGAGTGAGAAAGCCGGCGTGGTGTGTGGAGAGTTATCATGAAAGCCGATCAAAAGCGCACACCATGCCACAATTAAATAAGCAAGAAAATAATGTAATAGTGAAGGCGTGTTATTATAATACAGGATTGGTGATTACCCCAGGGCTGAAGGAGAGGTACCACGATTATTTAGCAGACAATTGGTCAAAGGATCAGCTTCACTTGTCCCGTTGCCACGTCATAGTGTTGTGCTAAGTTTACGAAGACTCAATGATGCTGCCCACTACGATACCGGCGAAACGTCTGAGAATATACCACGTCCACGATCCGACGTAGAAGATTATCATGCATACAATGTACTCCGGAGTAGATGCGTTCCTCTAAGTCTTCCTACCAATATGACCAAGTTGCCAAAACAAGGTCAAAGTACTTCTATACACCGAAAAAGGACTGCGACCACACAAACGGCCACACCATCTTGGTCTTCATACCTTCGATTAAGCATGCTACAATTGATAGTTATAAAGGTTCTGTTAAGCTTATCTACATATATAGTTTGTTGATCAATACTTTGAAACCAAAAGAGCATTAAAATCCTTTTTGTTAATAGTAATGTTTTGTATCAAACATCTATTCAAATGACAGGAAAACGTTTATAGACATAATTCTGATTTACTTGTTTGAGTAACATACAGCTCTTGAGTATATATTAAATTGAAGTGATGGTATGACCTCCTCTACACAACTCGGTAAGAGTGCCAATGAGACCTTGTGGGAACGCACCTAGTCCTGCGTTCTATGCCATAGTATTCGTCATTTCCGGCTTCGGACCATTGACTTGGTACATTCCTAAGCGTTTCACCAGCATTGTTGTCAGCAACTTCGGTGAGAGGTGTCATCCTCAGCATATTTACAGTTTATCAAAGTGGCAAGTGAAGGTAATCACCTTGACAAATTTTCTGTTCAACGGTTGTTACATAAATCCTTGCCACTATTTTTTTGTTTGAGCTTCAAGAGCTGCATCTCTTTTTCTCAACCCAACTTCATACGGCCCCTCCACCTATTCACACAATTATGGGCTGTTGTTTCCTCAAATTAAGCCTAAAAGTGTGTCACTACAAGTGGGTTTAATGAAGCGTAATCATCTCCACTACCGGTACCGGCTCCTGGATATTATTCAGCCTCCCTTTCTCCTACTCCGCTTGTCAATTTGTCGCTGCTATACATCAAAATTACTGCCTGACTGTTATAAATCTGGCTGCCTTTGAGCTTTCGATTCCCGTCCGGTCATATTCGAGGATTTAGAGAATATGGTGCCTATGTCTATGTCCATTCCAATGTCTGGGAATCTTTCTCTCCCTAGGTTTCAATCCCATGATTAAATTAGCCTCTTCATCATCCTCGCCCACATTGTGTCTTATTAGTTGATGCCCTGTGTCGTGCTTAAGTCATACCTGCTGGTGTGGAAATGTACTTCTCTTTTTTTCCCCTGAATCACAATAAGGACACTCTTCTCATCCTTCAAGTTGACATTCCTATCCAATCTTAAGGTACTAGGATGCTCATGCGTGTGTTGGCATGTATACCCTTAGTCAAGCATGGGACTAGTCAACTACCATTAAGTCACATATACGAAAAAATGCAAACAAGTTCACACGCACACCCTGGTGACCTATATCTGTTCCACATATACCTTTAGCTTTTAATTTTGTATCCTACGTCCCACAGGTAGATCTCCCTTGGGTAAATTATGTGGCCGATTGCAGGTTTGACTGCTCTTACAGTAATCGCTTTTTCTTGACTTCCCTTTGTCCCTCATGATCGCCACCTTGGCGATACCTCTTTTCGCTGATGAATAGTTGTCCTGGGTCCAGACGTCTTCATTCTCCTGTCCATCCTGAATCTCTAGGTCATGGGTTTGAAGCCTAGGAAAATGAAAATTCTCAGGCATTGGAATTGACATAGACATTGGCACCATATTCTTTAACTCCTCGAATATGATCAGACGGGAATTTAAGACTCAAAGGCAGCCAGGCAGCAATTTTGATGTATAGCAGCGAGCAATTGACAAGCGGAGTAGGAGAAAGGGTGGCTGAATAATATCCAGGAGCCGGTACCCGTGGTAGAGATGATTACGCTTCATTAAACCCACTTGTAGCGACACTCGTTTAGGCTTAAT